TATATATATATATATATATATTTTAGTGTTAGCAAATATTTTTTGATTCTCTGATAAACCTTATCCGTAGTTCTGTGGATTAATATGTGGTTTTCACGGTTCTAAACTTGCAATTCATATGGCAACCCGTGAGCAACTGTTACAGAAAAAGAATTGGTAAAGAAATGAATGTTTTGTCTGTGGTTGAATTAAACCAGTCCAACAATATTCTTAGAAGCATTTTTCCACATGACTATAATTTCTGTCTTTATTTCATGTTACCAAACTAATAGGATTAAGTTAACTCTTAAGGTCTGAATTTATATTAAGACTCTCTCACTTCTCCTTTTTTAACTATCACATGCTTCTATTGTCAACCAACTAGATTCCTAAAAGCCACCACCCTCATGACAAAGTCAAGCTAAATACTTTAGTTGTTAAAATACAAACTACCTACTTATGGTTTATAGGTTTGGTGGTGAATATGGCATTATGCATTTATAAATTTTCGTTTTAAAGGTAAAGATATATGATTTTTATAAAGTAAGATATCATAATAAATTATTGTCTATATATTCACATGTTGAAAAATCTAAATCATATTTTTTTTATTATCAACAACTAATGTTATAGTACTCTATTCTGTAAAAAAAAACAAATGTTCTCAATTAAAATGCATCAATGTCTTTAAAAAAATAAAATGCTTTAAATGTTAATATTTTTCCCATATGTGACTTTTATACATTTGTGCAATAATAAATGAATTTAACTAAAATGTACTGATATAATTTTTTTTCTTCATATTATCGTACAATCACATTTGATCAAATAAAATAAAATTTTTAGATTCTAGTAATAATTTTTTTAAAACCTATATTTAAAATAATTTTTTTATCATAACTACATAAAAATTAATAAAAGTTAAATTCATCATAAAAGGTAATTTGACAAAAGTAACATATTTTTTTTTAGAATTACAATAACAATAATAAAATGTTAACATAAAACATCGTATATACTACTTAATCTCACTACTCACTCTAGTGGTTCAAAAGTGACACAGATTATAAACCATTTGGTTGGCTTAATTAATAATTCAGTATTTTCTTTGACACTTGCCTCTTCAATTAAAGTTGATACTCTTAAAGGAGCATTTCCCTTTCGTAACGTTTGTGTTAAGCCTGGTTATGGAGATATAAAGGGCTTGTGCAGATCTCATTCATCCATAAAAGAAAAAGAGGTGTTGTAGATAAATCGACAAGGACAAGGAATCCGAAAGTAACGTTTGTCATCAAGCAAAGTCCCCACGTAGCAAAGCCTGAACAAGGAACATGAACTTCACCAATCGCTTCAGCTTCTTGATGCTGCTTTTCATTCTGGTTCTGGGCTCTGCTACTAAACCAGGTTCCTCATCTTCATACCTTGTTCTCTTTCACTGAAGGCAATTCTGCCACAACTCTTTTTTTTTTCTTTCTGCAGTTGAATATGTTTTTATTGTCCAACAAATTAAAAACATAAGAAATAAAAACTGCATCATGCCACCATGATTTGTATTATTATTATGAAAATAATGAGTATTAGCTAAGATATGTGGAACATTTCAAGGGACTAATTTATAGTGTGTCATCCCCAGGAGTACGATTGGATATTCAAGATAAACATGTAATACACTTCTGTAATGGCTTCTTCTCTAGCTATATACATTTTATTTATCACTTCAGGATGGCATTTCAGGGGCATAAGCCATTGCTTTTCTCAATTTTTATTTTTTTTTACATTTAATTTTTGTTCGTTCTGCCCAGGTGATAATGGATAATGGCATAGTTCGGGTCAACTTATCAAATCCTGAAGGAATTGTCACGGGAATTCAATACAATGGCCTCGACAATTTGCTCGAAGTTCTTAACGAAGAATCTAACAGAGGGTACAGGAATTATATTTAAATGTTATTCAGAATGTATATATATTAATCTCTGTTCTAGGACAATTCACAAACTCTGAACATGCAATGAATAATGTCCAGTGTCTAGTGAGGCTCATCTAGCTAGCTACTTTGGTTCCTACAACATTCCCAATCTGAAATCATAGCCCTGAATTGATTTTTTTTATATTCCTTTGGTGTAACCAATTACCATTGCGTGTAGGTACTGGGATATCGTATGGGACCAAGGTGGTGAAAAAAGAACAGAAAAAGGAAAAAAGGGAAAGGGCACACTTGACAGGTTTGATTCATGAACCTTGGTATAACTGTATGATATACAATATTTTTGTATAATTTTGTGTTTTATAATTAAGAGAGAGAGAGAATGTGAGACAAAATATAAGAGGTGAGAGAGAAAAAATATTACTATAAAGGTAATTTATGAATAATATGTGTTAATTGAATAAATGGGGAATGATGAACAGATTGGAAGCGACGAATTTTACGGTAATCGTGAAAAATGAGGAACAAGTAGAGCTATCATTCACGAGAACATGGAATTCCTCTCTTGAGGGGAAGTTTGCTCCACTCAATATTGATAAAAGGTTGTTGTCTTTCAACCTCCCTCTTTACTTTTGGAAGCAAAATTAAATAAATTAAATAAGGAGGAGGTGGAGTATAATTTGTTGCAGGTTTATAATGCTTGCTGGTTCCTCTGGTTTCTACACCTATGCCATTTATGAACATTTAAAGGAATGGCCAGCTTTTGATCTTGACAATACTAGGATCGCATTCAAGCTTAGAAAAGACAAGTATGTAATTTTTGTTCCATATTTTGGTTCCTCGGAAACACGTATTTTATGTTTCTAATAATAGTGGTGTTTTTATGTTTCACTCCAAAAGGTTCTGCTACATGGCTGTAGCAGACAACAGACAAAGATTTATGCCTCTGCCTGATGACCGGTTACCGCCAAGAGGTGAAGTTCTGGCCTACCCTGAGGCTGTGCGACTTGTTGATCCTCTAGAACCTGAATTCAAAGGAGAGGTATGCCTTCTGTTTTGCCGTATACATGCTAATAACGAATCATGTGGCCACAAAACCTTTTATAGTATAAATATAAAATTATTTTATTTTAATTTCAAAGCTGAGCCATATGATTTGGAATTTTATTGTCCGAGACTTTATTGAAATTATAAGCCCAAAAGTCGAAAGCAGTAACCTCAAACATGCGACACTTGTTTTGGGCCCGTTGCTTTGTTTTGAAAGCAGGTAGATGATAAATATGAGTACGCGTGCGAGAGCCGATACAACCACGTTCACGGTTGGATACACCTTGATCCATCCAATTCCACTGGATTCTGGCTAATTACGCCAAGTTATGAGTTCCGATCTGCTGGACCCCTTAAGCAATATCTTACTTCTCACGTGGGCCCCACCACACTCTCTGTAAGACTTTTACATTTACTAATTACTAGTACCATCTTTATTTCTCATCTTGTTTATTGGTCCAATTGAGAAGAAAAATCATTCAAATCTAATGGTGAATGAATCTTTATACGGAGAAATGAATCAGGTATTTCATAGCACGCATTATTCAGGGGTGGATCTCATAATGAAATTTGGGCCCAATGAGCCGTGGAAGAAAGTCTATGGGCCCATATTCATATACCTCAATTCTCTATCTAACGGGTTCAGCCCAACCCGCCTCTGGGAGGACGCCAAACAACAGGTATGCCACTATTATAATTATAATTTGTCTTGTAAATGCACATGCATTAGTTTAATTTAAAATTACGGGAATAAATGTTAAGGTTAGATTCGTAGTCATTTGTGTATTTTAAAAATTGTTCCGGTCAAAGAGTGGATTAGGGTTTCTTCCTAGGTTAAGTCTCAGAGTCAGAGTATTCAAAAGTGTAATCTGTCTGCTTAGCCTTAGGGTTTTAGGTTTTATACTTTTTTATTCATGGGCCCTATGAGCGCGGAGATTTTCATGACTGTTTTTATTTGAAAGATATTTGGTAATTAAAGGTGGGATTTTGTCCTTGATATCGGATCAGCATCTGTGTGGGAAAGTTGGATCGGATTCTGATCGAGATAATGCATTGCGCAAAAGGTCAGATTGGATTTTTGACCGAGTTTGCCCATGTAGAGGGATCAGATCGAATTTTGACCGAGTGGACCCATGTAGAGAGGTCAGATCGGATTTTGACCGAGTGGACCCATATAGAGAGGTCAGATCGAATTTTGACCGAGTGGACCCATATAGAGGGGTCAGATCGGATTCTAACTGGGACGGTACACTTACCTTCCAGTCCTGAGCCTGTAAGGCGAGAGGGCTTAGTTGGCCATACATCGGATCAATACCTATGTAAAGGGATCAGATCGGATTCTAACCGGGACGGTACACTTGCCTTCCAGCCCTGAGCCTGTAAGGCGAGAGGGCTTAATTGGCCACACATTGGATCAATACCTGTGTAGAGGGATCAGATCGGATTCTAACCGGGACGATATACTTGCCTTCCAACCTTGAGCCTGTAAGGCGAAAGGGCTTAACTAGCGATGAGGTCGGACTATCACCGAGACGGTACACTCCCTGAGCCTCTAAGGCGGCCAAAATAGAAGTCATGGAGAAATTTGTATAGGGTTTTGATGCTGCCACAACTTAAGTAAAATTTCTTCATGTTGATCTTGACCTTAGAGGCCTCGGATATTTCAAAGAAATTGTGGATGGTGAACTCATGGATCCCCTAGAAGATGATTAGAATCGATTGTTATTAATAGTAGGCTATTTATTTTTGTATGAACTCCGCACTACTTTTAGCTTGAATGTTTTTGGTTATTTAAATTATAACGTTTTGAGAAAACGCGTCTCTCATCCAAATTTTGACGACAAGGCAAAGAAAAAATGACCAAGTTAAACATGTTTTTGGAACAAATATACCTCTCGTCCAAATTCCGATCTCATGAAAAATGAGGAAGAATGATCTAAGTTCAAACTTTGTTTTTGTGCAGAATCACTAGCCGTTTGAAATCCGATCCCCTTTCATTCTCAGTATATACAACTATGTCTCCAAAATGTCGACCTCACAATGTATGAAGAAATTAAAACCAAGTTAAAAACTTCTTTCTTGGTATACAACACCAGGTCCCCAAAATGCCAACATCATGATTAATAATGAAGAAATAAAATCGAGTTAAAAACTTTTTTCTTGGTATATAACACCAGGTCTCCAAAATTCCGACCTCACGATGTATGAAGAAAATAAAACCAAGTTAAAAACTTTTTTCTTGGTATATAACACTAGGTATCCAAAATGACGAAATAATGATTAATGAAGAAATAAAACCAAGTTAAAAACTTTTTTCTTGGTATATAACACTAGGTATCCAAAATGACGAAATAATGATTAATGAAGAAATAAAACCAAGTTAAAAACTTCTTTCTTGGTATATAACACCGACCAGGTCTCGTAAGTGCCGATCAGGTCTCCAAAATGTCGATCAGGTCTCCAAAATGCCGACCTCGCGTAAAACGGAGAGACACATCGTCCAGATTCCGATCTCTTGTATAATGAGAAAATAATTCGAGTTATTTATACTCGCCCAGTCGTATTTTTACCGATCAATCATGAGTTTTGGTCTTCGAGTTATTTATACTCGCCCAGTCAGATTTTTACCGATCAATCACGAGTTTTGGTCTTCGAGTTATTTATACTCGCCCAGTCAGATTTTTATCGATCAATCACGAGTTTTGGTCTTCGAGTTATTTATACTCGCTCAGTCGGATTTTTACTGATCAATCACGAGTTTTGGTCTTCGAGTTATTTATACTCGCCCAGTCAGATTTTTACCGATCAATCACGAGTTTTAGTCTTCAAGTTATTTATACTCGCCCAGTCGGATTTTTACCGATCAATCACGAGTTTTGGTCTTCGAGTTATTTATACTCGCCCAGTCGGATTTTTATCAATCAATCACGAGTTCGTCTTCGAGTTATTTATACTTGCCTAGTCGAATTTTTATTGATCAATCACGAGTTATGTCTTCGAGTTATTTATACTCGCCCAGTCAGATTTTTACCGATCAATCACGAGTTTGTCTTCAAGTTATTTATACTTGTCCAGTCGAATTTTTACCGATCAATCACGAGTTTGTCTTCGAGTTATTTATACTCGCCCAGTTGGAAGGGAACCGATCAATCACGAGTTTTGTCTTCGAGTTGTTTATATTCACCCAGTCGAATTTTTACCGATTAATCACGAGTTTTCCTGCAAGTCAATCAATTTGAATATAATGATTTTTATTATTTGATGGTACCTCATTAAACACCTTTTTAGCATAAAACCCTCTCACATTTTTGTAGGGATAAAAATACTAAGTTAGGAAAGATTGCACCTAATACAAAACGATCAACTAACTATAATGTTCCCATAAATAACTTGCAGCGGACCCCATGCTTCCTCCACAAATTAACATTTGAGCACGAAAGTCCATTAGATGTTGACTAGGATCCTGTGTCCCGTCAAACGGTTTCACCTGAGGTATCCTATGATCTCTTAGGATGGCCTTAGATTCAATCGCCTCTGAAAACGGTCTAAAATCCCTCAGAACTTCCGTCATACTATCTTCTTTCGCTGTCCTCATATTAGCCGCTATCATGGCCTACATCTCGTCGGCTCGTCGTCTGATCTCCTCGTTCTCTCGCTGAATGGCCTCCTCTCTCTCTGGATCGTGCATTCTCCTCTCTCAAGCCATTGATCAATGCCATCATCTCCTCCATGGTAGGGTGTTGTGGGTCGTGGTTGGATGTGCCGCCTCTCGCCATAGTAGAGTGTAAGTTTTTCGTCTTACTTGGGGCGTAGGAAAAGTTTCACCGTAGCCCCACGGTGGGCGCCAAAATGTTCCGGCCAAAGGGTGGACTAGGATTTCTTCCTAGGTTAAGCCTTAGAGACAGAGCATTCAAAAGTGTAATTTGTCTGCTTAGCCTTAGGATTTTAGGTTTTATACTTTTTTATTCATGGGCCTCATAGGCCCTATGAGCGCGGAGATTTTCATGACCGTTTTTATTTGAAAGATATTTGGTAATTAGAGGTGGGATTTTGTCCTTGATATCAGATCAGCGTCTGTGTGGGAAAGTTAGATCGGATTCTGATCGAGATAATGCACTGCGCAAAAGGCCAGATCGGATTTTTGACCGAGTTTGCCCATGTAGAGGGATCAGATCGAATTTTGACCGAGTGGACCCATATAGAGAGGTCAAATCGGATTTTGACCAAGTGGACCCATATAGAGAGGTCAGATCGGATTCTAACTGGGACGGTACACTTGCCTTCCAGTCCTAAGCCTGTAAGGCGAGAGGGCTTAGTTGGCCATACATCGGATCAATACCTATGTAAAGGGATCAAATCAGATTCTAACCGGGACGGTACAAAAATAAATTCATTTTTTTGAATTATTGGTGTCGTTGTTGTTACGTTTATTCGTTCAAGTCATATTCCACCTAACGATTGTGTCAATTAAGTGTACCCACTCTTAGACTTTTAGTTTGAATTTGAAATAACAATAATAATTGCAGATGGTCAATGAAGTTGAAAGCTGGCCCTATACATTTCCAGCTTCCAAGGACTTTCTTTCATCTGAGCAACGAGGTAAAGTTCAAGGTAGATTGCTTGTCCGAGATAGGTAGGTATCATTTGCTTAACTTTCATGTTCGACAAATTATCAGACAGCGATGGTTTATCAGTTATCACGTTGATTCTAAGTTCTAACGTACTCAAAATGTGTAATAATAAAATGTGTAAAAATATTTTTCAAGACGAGAATATTTTTGTCTTATCACTCACAGTTTCAAATGTGTCAAATAATAATTTAAACCTGTATAGGTACATTAGTGATGCATTCATCCCAGTTAGTGGTGCTTATGTGGGACTAGCAGCCATAGGAGAAGTTGGATCTTGGCAAAGGGAATGTAAGGTAACATTTTAACCACTTCCTTGTACCATTTGAATAAAAACAACAACATGGAGACACTAGGGAAAAAAATGACACGTTTATTACTTCTCAACATTCAACAGGGTTATCAATTTTGGACCATTACTGATGATAAAGGCTATTTCTCAATTATTAACATACGCCCTGGGGACTATAATCTCTACTCCTGGGTCACTGGGTTCATTGGTGATTATCAATTCGATAGTGTCATCAATGTAACTTCAGGTCTTAATAGATTTCTGAACCTTTTTTTAAAGTTCTAAAGTACTATATGGTATTGTTGTTATAAACCCACTTATTTGACAAATATGTAAATAGGTTGTGATATTAATGTGAATGAGCTTGTTTATGAACCACCAAGAGATGGCCCTACGTTGTGGGAAATAGGCATGCCTGATCGTTCAGCTGCTGAGTTCTTTGTTCCTGATCCAAATCCCATGTACATTAACAGACTCTATGTCAACCATCCAGAAAGGTAGCACTTGAGTACAATTTGTCATAACTTCTTCATTCATACTGTAAAGTTATAGTTATACACTAGCTCAATATGTCAAATATTATCACTTGAACCTCCATTTTAGAAAAAAAATGAAAATTTTATGTCCCTGTAACTGGCAGGTTTAGGCAATATGGCTTGTGGGAGAGGTATGCTGAATTGTATCCAAAGGAAGACCTAGTTTACAATGTTGGCATTAGCGACTACAGAAAAGACTGGTTCTTTGCTCAGGTTACCAGGTGTGTGATTTTTCGTTTCTTGTGCCAATGCCAATATGTCTTCTTTTCATATTTATTGAAAGCACTATTTTAAGAGAGTTATAGGTTCTCCTTCTGTCCCAGTCTCTCTCCCTCTGAGTATTGTCTCAAGTTACTTTCCTTTGTTGATCCGCAGGAAGAAAGACAATAACACCTACCAAGGAACCACATGGAAAATTAATTTCAACCTTGATTGTGTGAATAAAAATGGAACCTACACATTGAGAGTGGCTCTGGCGTCTGTGCATTCAGCTGAATTAGAGGTACAAAAGTGTCTGCTCAATAATTTTGATATAAACAAAAATTGTGCAATGCATGTAAGTATTTATCTTGCTAACTACACCTATTTTTTTTCTTTTGGGAGGGTAGATTCGGATAAACAATTTAGAAGCAAATCCACCTTTATTTTCAAGTGGAGTAATTGGAAAGGAGAATACGATAGCTAGACATGGAATTCACGGGCTCTACTGGCTATACAGCATTGAAGTAGAAGGCAATCTTCTTGTGCAGGGGAACAATACCATTTTTCTAACGCAAGCAACAAACACAAGTCCTTTTATAGGAATTTTGTATGATTATATTCGTTTAGAATACAAACAATGAAGATCAATCATAAAGTATTATTCTTAAGAATATTTGATTGGAAAATGTCATCAATTTATCTAACTAAAATCAGTGGAAAAGTAATTAATTCATCAGCAGATTGATTTCAAAGGCAGATCTGTTCTCTGTTATATATGCATGCAGATGAAATACGAATTTTATGTCATGAATCATGATATTGTCTGTGTCAATGTTAGTTTTAATTAAATGCTGTACACTAATCTTAAACATTAATAATTTTGGAAGGTAGTGAGTACTTAATTATTTCCACAAATTATTTTTAAAAGCAATGTCGTTAACATTTGAAGTGTCAATGTATTGGTGGAAGTTTCTACTTTTGCTTTCGTTGCTTATCCTGAATAAAATGACTTGTCTATACAGATGCATTTGCGCAAAGGGCAAAACTCTTACAAATTTTTTTAGGTATTTTTATGTTGTTTTTCAATTAAGGTTATGATTTATCTTTAGTGACCTTTTATGCCTGAACCCAATGATTCAAGCAAAAGCTAAAAGATCCTGGAATAATATATATGGGTGGATACTTGACTGGTGACAATTCGAAGAATTAGTTCTCTGTTCTTTATGATGGACTCCAATCACTTTTTCTCCAATAAATTGCATGAAATACTTTCTTTTTTTTTAATTTCATGAACACGGTCCATGTTGTATTACAAAACTTATAATAAAAAAATAGTCCATATTTGCATGACATAATTTCTGCTAATCAAATATTATTTTAATATTGATAAGAATTGATTTTGTGAATATTTAATTTATTTTTATATATTAAGATAAACTTTACAACTATTGAATTAAGAGACTTGGTTAATTGCATGAACTATTTGATGTTAACAAACTGGAGCCATTACTGATCCTGGAGGAGTTCAGTTCAAATAAAGCACAAGGGTCATTGTTGATTGATATTTTTCTTATATGTAAACTTTTTGAAAGTATTTTCAGTGAACTGTTTATGCTGATTTTGAAAACTTTAATTTCCTCCAGTTCATGAATGAAGTATTTTTTCAAATGATGACAAGGGCCCTCCCAGGCTTGTGTAAGAAAACTGAAAAGTGCAGGCAGTATTTTGTTTTTTTTCTTCATAAATATAGTGGAAGTGGAAGATTTTTCCCTGACAAATTAAAGGAACTCAAAAAATAAACTTATTGATAACTGCTAGGCTGGAATTTCCAATAAAAAAAATGTATTGGTATGTTAGTCTCACATGTACGGTTTTCTGTTAATTTAACATGGAGCCGAATGAGATTGCAGGGTGGTGTTTTTGAATATTCACTTGTAAACTTGAATAGGTATACGTTGTGTGTAACTTCAATTGTCAAGATGATCTATTATTTTGGTCTATGGGGTGGTAGATGGCAGATTTGGGACCACAGGGTTCGGAGCATCTGCATGATCATTTAGCTGCGTATCCAGTTAAATATCATTTAAGTCTTTTTTTAAGTCAAATATTATATAACATGGACAGTGGTTTTTATTAGGGAGTTCATATCCTACCTTTATTTTAAACTCGATACGTTCGAACAATTCCTTTTTAAGACTCCAATGACTTGCTACAACGATTTATCCTTACTAATATATTTATTAAGTAGTCTACCAGGTATTTATGAGTCCAATCAATTACTATATAACAAGTGTTTAAATTTTTCAATTTACAAGAAATTTTTCATAAGACTTAATTAAATGTTAAGTAGAGATTAATTAGAAACTATGTGGTTCAAGATTTCGATAATTTTTTCTTGTTTAATGCTTTTAAAAGCACCATAACCAACCATACATACTTTTTACTATCCTGAATATCATATCATCATCTGATGCTTTTTCCTTGGATTTGTCTTATATCACCGAATAGCAAGAATCAAAATTTTATTTGTTGCGATGTAGGTCAGGTCTTGTGACCGATAGTAGTATACTTAGTAGTACACATGCAAGGTTCGTGGAAACTACGTATAAGACTTGTATATTATTATATTAAATCACAAAATGATGAAAGAGGAATGCAAGAGCAAATGTTTTGATCATGGTTTAATAGCTCAATAGTTGTGTCAAAGTTGAGAACATTGTATTATAATTCAGTCACGAGATTTTGGTTTGGGGGTAAAAGGACATATTTGTTACTTGAATCCAAAAGTCTTTAGGTTACTTGTTTAGTAGCACAAATAAAGATCAGGAGAATATAAAGAATAGATAAATATAAAAATATGATTTTAGAGACATATGTGAGATGGCCAATGAATTGAGTTTGATGAGTTGTGATAATCTAAAAATTGATTGTTACAGAACTCCCAATTTTATAGGAACATCGAGATTTTTTTTTATTCTTATTATCATTAGGGGAAAAAAATTCTGTATGTTGCTAATGTTCTGAAATGTGAAAGTTAAGAAGTAATTATAAGGTATACAATTATATTTTGACAAATAATAACTTTTATTTAAATTAATAAAATAAAATTTAAAAAATATATAATTACCATAATAAATAAAGGATAAAAATATCTTAAAAATTATGGACATGAAAAATAATGAATTATCTTTATATTATTATTACTATTATTATTATTATTATTATTATTATTATTATTATTATTAAACCATACTCCAATAACAATTTATTACTCTTAACCAGATCCATCAAAATTAAGTAGTGGAAAAAAATTGACATTAAGATGTTAAGTCTAAAGAGAATTGACAAATGAGTCAAAGTAAATTCATCTTCTATTTCTACCAAAGCACAAAAAGATCTAGATGAAAAGGCCAAATTTTTAGTAGAGAAAAGCAAGATTATGACTAAATTAGCATCAATCACATCACAATATGAGTTTGAAGAAAGATTAAAATTAATTCAAGTTATGCAAGATCCTTCGGTGAAAGAAGAAACTGAATCCTCCGACTATGTTTTTACTAATCCCTTTAACATGTTTGATTAAGTTCAAACAAGATTTTGAAGATGATTCTGACAAAGACAAGACATAAAGATAAGATGTTCAAGACTTTTAAAGATGTTTCTGCCACTTACAAGATGCTCCTGCCATTTCACAAAGACAAGACATAAAGATAAGATGCTCAAGATTTTCAAAAATATTTTTGCTACTTACAAGATGCTCCTGTCATTTCAAAGATGTTCATGCTACCGTCAAGATACTTCTGTCATTTTCTTATCTATAGATCTAGACTAGGTTCCTTTTGTAATAATGTTTGTACTATATTTTGTTTCCTATCTATGCCCTTAATAATTTAGGATTATCAATACCCTTATGTGTAAATTAGACATGTATGACTTGCTATAAAAAGAACTTTCCAATATATGTCATGGCATCAAGAATTTTGAGATAATAAAAGTTTTATCTTACTACTTTCATCATCGTCGTGTGCATAAAACACTGTCATAGTTCTTAGTACTTTCTTTATGGAAAGTGGAGCGTAAATAATTTGCTCAGGTTAAAATAGAATTTTAGTTTAGTTTTTTCTCTTCTTCTAATTTTAGTCGTTTTAAGTTAAAAAAAAATAAGTAATTTGACCTCTTCAAGTATCTCTATTAAATTAAATTTATTTTTTCTTAATTTACCATATTAATTAATTAATTCGGTGACATGTAACATATTGTGAAACATGCCATTTTGACAAATATTTGACAACATTAGTACTGAATACTGGTTGAAAGATCAATATGATCTGGTAAAATAATTTTTTAAAATTAAAAAAATACTAATTTGATACAAAATATTTATATGAGAGATCAACATTTCATTTTGGATAATGATATTTTGTATACTCAAATATTTCAATGATACATCACATTTCTCTCTATCTTTCACTTCCCGTCACATTTTATACTGATTAATATATCACTTTTCTCTCGTGTATATTTTAGCTCATATATTGTGTGTCCAAGAAATATTTTCCTTCTATTTTAGCCTTTAGTTTTGGCATAAATATTATTTTTCTACTTATTTTAATTAAATTGTGGGCTCCCAGCAGAAACATTTTCTTTCTGAACCACAAAAAACCTGGAAAGATTATGACCGTTAGTCAAAGAGCATCTAGCAGTGAATTTTTTCAGTGACCTGATCAGAGTTCATCAGGCGGTGTATCATTTCATTCAATTTTCAAAAGAAGAAAAAAATGGATAAAGTTATATTTACGGAGGTGATTTAAGAATATCATTATTGAATATTATTTTTGAAAATTTAAAAATATTTTCGATAGAATTTTAATATTTTCGGGAATATTTTAAAATTTTAAAATAATTGAAATAAAGAATAAGTTGAAAAGGCGAATCAAAAGTAATTGTTCACCTATTTCACGCTTACCCTTTATTTTTCCTTTTTTTCATAAAAAAATTTGTAACACTTACCCTTTGTTTAGTTGGAGTAAAAACAAAATAAACACAGGCAGGAAAAAATTGGTTTTATTCAACATTTACTGTTTTTTCTCTTCAAGTTTTTAATAAAATATTAATTGATAAAAAAACTATTAAGAAAAGTATGTTTAGAGATTTTTATGTAAATGAAAAAGGAAAGAATAAAATAGTAGGTTCCATGCAAAAGATGCTTTCTTTCCACTTTGGAAAAAGGCAAGAAAAGTGTTCATTTATCATGAAAAGACATAAATATCCTTCACTAATTCTCATTTCAATACATTGATTTTATTATTAAAATACTATTTACAATATTTTATAAATATGTATTTTCTTTCTTCTTATTTTCTTTTCAACAAAACAAATTCCATTTTCCTTTTTACCGAACAATTAAAAATTATCTCATTTTTTTATATTTCTTTTCTTTCACTCAATTATGCTAACCAAATAAAATTCATTATTGATATGAATTTTTTTATTTTTTATTATAAAAATTAACAAATTCATCATACCTAATGATTTATGATTGAATAACAGTATAAAATGTATAATAAGACTCAAATTTGATACATTAAAAAGTAAAAAGTCAGATTCTAAAACTTTGAAATGGATAACAAGTACACTCATAGTGATTTGAAAAGTATTTGTAATTATTCATATTTTTAAATTAGAACGTAGGACAAAATTGACCCAATTTAATATTGAATACGTTTGAAATTTGCACATAAAAAATTGTGGGCGTATATAATAATATAGGAAAAAACATTGAAGAAATAAAGATTTGTTTAAAATAATGATGGTATGTTTGTATGTGTGGAAGGTGAGAAATAATTGAGAAAGTGAGGAAGACAGAGAAGGGGTCTCCGTATCCCATACATGCACAGAGACACAGGTGCAGGATCATGTCGCTCCCGTCCACGTGCTTCTTTATGACTTGCACTTCCTCTCCCATTCCCACCAGCGTCGCTACTCTAGTATCTCAAAATCAAAGAGAAAATAAAAAGCAGAGAAAAGGAAAATGGAGTTAAAAAAATTAAGTCACTTTATATTCTGTTGTGTTCGGACTTCGGAGTAACCAATCCTATTTGGTAACTAAGCTATGCTAAGCGGTAACATACAAATATTGGAGATTGATGGAGTTGGTGAATTGTGAGTAACAAATTAAGACTTTGAAATCCAACCCAATAGCCATCTTTTGACTAACCCTTCTTCTCTCTCCCTCTCCCCATGCCCATGCCCATGCCCCTCTTCGATGACGCTGGAGAACCTGCTGAATCCCGTGATCTCAGAAACACTTCTCGAATTTATAAACCCTCTCACATCGTGGGCCTCGCTCATAATCATCTCTGACGTCAGATAGAGCAGGTCCGAAGGAAGCACGTCGCTCCACCGCTGCTGGACCCCCAATGGGACTGGGACTGGGACTGGGCCTGGGCCTGGGCCTGGGGAGACAATGATCCTGTGCTCCAACCTCCGTTCCACGCTTGTCCTATCTCCCTCTCTCTCCGTCTCTTGCGTCAACAACATCCCGTCTTTTCTCGCACTCGTACGCACAAAACAACCAACGCTCTCGTTGTTCTTCTTTCTCGATGTGGCGCTATCCAACGACCTTCGAAACGACGCCGTCCACCTCCGGCTCTGCTGCGTTTCTCTCTCCCCGACCGACGAGTGCCTCCGATGAGACTCCACCATCTCCTGCTTCTCCAGGTCCAAGCCCGAACGCACGCTTTCTCGCTCGTTGCTTCTCTTCTTCGCATCCTCCACCAGAAGCACGTCCTCCGGATCCACGCGGTACCGACACAGAGGACACGTCGAATGCGCGTCCAGCCACGTGTCCACGCACTCCACGTGGAACGCGTGCTTGCACTTCGGCAGCAGCCGGAGGACCTCCGCCGCCTCGAACCTCGTCAGGCAAACGGCGCAGTCCAGGCCCTCCTTCTGCCCGCGCAGCGCGCCGAATCTGAACACCGGCAGCGACTCCACCACCGACCGCTCAATGCCGGAGTTCTTCCTCCCGTCCAAAGGCGCCGCCGCCGTCCACGGCGTGGCGTTTCCTCCGGCGGCGCCGTTGCAGTGCTTGATGTAGAGGAGCATGAGGGAGGTGAGGGAGAAGAGGGTGGTCAAAACGCAGACGACGACGGGTATGCCTGGTCGGAAGGGCGTGGCGGGGCCGTGGGTGTCGGGCGGCGGTGGAGCAGTGAGATTGGGAGCTGGCGGCGGCGTTTCTCTGGCATGGGAAAGGAATAGAATGAGAATGAGAATGAGAACGAAGAGGGTGAAGGAAGGGCGACGAGTAACAGCAGTAGCCATGTGATTAGTTGAAGAGGGTGGGTGACGCTCTGCATTAATTTTTAATGATGTGGAGTGGACAGTGGACTGTGGACAGTGGACTGTGGACTGTGGACAGGGGAAGCTCTATTTTGGGGGAGATTCTATGGTAGGGATTCAGGGGAAAACCATACAAAAAGACAAAGACAAATACCTATTACTTCTCTTCTTCTTCTTCTTATTCAATTCATTAATTATATACTAAATAAATACACCTCCTTACATACAATATACATAATGTTTCCCCCTAAATTATATTTAATGCCTTTAAATCTTTTATTTTATGATACTGTTTTTAAATCATTTCATTACTAATTCTCCCTCCCTTACTTTTTATTTTTCTTTTTATCTAATTTTTTAAACAGTCTACACAAAATAATTAATATGTAATATATAATAAGAAATATTAAAATCATTCTACCAAAAATACATTTTTTATCATCCTATATACATACAACTCTTTTTCTTTTTTTTTTATCGATATTTAATAATATTTCTAAAAGGTTGTATCTTGTAATTCTTTTTCTAAATACTTTTAACTAATTAATATTGTCAGGTAAAAGTTAATGAGATAAATTCTTTTTTTACGATTTTATAGAAACAAATTTTAGATATTAATTAACGAGATTAATGATCACTCCTTGTCACGGTAAAAAAAATTATGTTGTGAACCAATAAAAAATTATTATAATATAAAATTAAAAAAATAATAAAGCTTACAATATAAATCATGTGATATGTTATATATGTTTAGTTAATTAAGAGTAAAAAAGTCTTAAACAAAAATAGAGATTAAAGATTGTTACAAAATAAGTGAGTAATTATTACTAATAAAGTAAATAATTTTTTTATATACATTTTTTTCTATTTTACCATATATATTGGTGGAAAAAAATTATAGATATCTAAAAAAAACTGGAGACAAAAGGAAGGTCTCTCCTTTATATAATATAGATTATAGATGATAGATTTGATTAGTTAGATTAGATGATGATATGAAACTATTTTATAGTGTCATTACATCAATGCATTTTTTTTAATTAATTGAGAAACAATTAAGTAGAATAGAATAAATGATTCGCATTTGGAATATTCACATTCCCACCAAAGTAAAATCGTGATGTACTCCCTGCGAAATCAAACCTTGAGAGCATAGATTAGAGGAGTGCAATGTGCAGCTTTGTGTGATAACCAACATGAAAATGCATGGCACCTTCTTATAGGTTGCAACGCTGCCCAACAGTGTAAGGCTGCCTGCTCCTTTGGTACTCATATTAATTCTTCGATAGACAAAATTGATAGCTTAAAAAATCTTATTTTTGCAACACTGCAGAACTAGGATAATAAACAAGCAAGTGAATTCCCAATGATATATACTTTGAAGTATTTGGTTCAATAGAAACAAAAAGCTTTGGGAAGGAAAGAACTGGGACAACAATGATACAATATACACAACAAAAGACACCCTAGAAGCGTGGTCGCAAGCTCTTCAGCTAGCAAAGGGAGACAACCGAATATCCAAACAAATTAACCTTCTCATCAAATATACTGGATTCTACGCCAATTCATGAAAGAGTCAAATTTAATGCAACATGGATGCTACCCTCTTCCTATAGAACAAGAGTTCATATATATCTGACCATGAAGGAATCTTTCGTAAAGTTAGAACACCTAGACTCTTCTCTCTTCCGCAACCATATGAATTTGAAGCCATTGCCATCCAAGAACCTCTTAGGTGGGCATTAAAAATATACTTGGAAGATATCTCTTTCGAAACAGATTGCCAACGTGTAGTTAATTGCTTGTATAAACCCGTAAATGATAGCTTTGAATTTGGGTCAATCATTAATAAATGGAAGTTTCTCCTTCTAAATAGGTTAAACTGTAAGGTCAATTTAATTCCAAGACAAGCAAATTTAGTTGTCTATAATTTGATTAAGGCAATCAAGTTTCAAACTGATCTTTGTGATTATAGTTATATTCTATCCTGTATTATTTATCACATTATTAATGATACGAATTAACTTTGTTTCTCTAAAAAAAGATAAATGATTAAGTTCAAACATGTTAAAGATAATTTTGAAAAAATAATTCAAATATTAATAGTTTAATAATTATTAATTACTAATATTTGGTCAAGTGAAAGGAAAGGAAAGAACAATAGAAGAAGAAAAAGTTGAACTGAAATTAATGAAGAGAAAGTGAGAGAAATTTTGAATATTCAAGTCATCAACTTTTTTTTTATTTTTAATTTTATTTTCACTTTCTCTCTGTTCAGACAAAGAAAAATATATCATTATTTGTATTTTGTTTTCTCACTTTCATCTCTTCTAAACATAAAATATTTGTAAAAATTTCAGTTTCTTTTGTACAACTATGAAAATAATCATCGGTTTGAAGATTTAATTATACTTTTTCACATAAGATTTAATTTAATTATACTTAAAGATCTTATCTTTATATAAGAATATATTTTGCATAAATCAAATCAAATTCTCTTTCATAAGTTCATGATATGTTACCAACTAAACATATTCACTATATTAGCTTATTTTCTCTTTAGGAATAATATTAGAAAATATAAATCCATTCGTGCATAAGGTAATAAAAGTAACATCCTAACAAGTAATGAGTTTTTGATTAAAAAAATTTAATATATTTAACATAGTATTAATAATTGGTTTTCTAGTAAAGACGACGTTTATCTGCAACGAAAATAGTAAGTGTGCACATGTGGACCAACCTCAGAGACACTAACCAAAAAAGTCAGCAATGATAAAAAGGTAGGCAAAAATGGTTCTTGTGCTATATGGATTGGATTGGATGGATCTAACGACCTTTAGTCATACCGCACTAGGATATAGGAACCTATCATGTTTTCCCACACCCTATGAGCTAGGAAGGATCACAAACATTGTTGACATATATATATTCATGTTGGTTCATCTACTCTCTCAGACTATGGTCTTTTTTGTATTTCTACCTCTTTGCTGAGGTCACAAGGAAGCATGCTAATGTGAATTTCAATGTCGTAGTGGTTTCATTTTTTGTTTTTGCTAGAATTTGTTACATGTGAAGTCTCATCAAGAATATATCAATCTTTATAACAACATTTCTGCTTGCTCTAAAGTTAATATGGCATAGTGCAGACAACAGTCACGGGACCACTGCCTCATATATCATAGGTTAGCCACCTCTCACCCATGTGCTTGGGGGCGATTTATTTCTTACATTAACCTTATTTTAGTTAATATAATTTATAATTGTTGGTAGTTCGGTCTTGACATAAACTAAGTCCAAATGGGTGGTAGAACATTATAGAATCGTTGTGAAGCCAATTTGACGTCTGTCTGCATAAATTGTTTTGACAATAGTAGCTTATTTCTTTTTCTGTAGGCCAATTATTGTCCTTTTACTAGCTAATTATCTTGAGTTATTGTGGTGTTTTTTACAGGTTAGTTTGATGGTATAATTGGAAAACCCAACAAACATTTCAATATACCCTAATATGTAGAAGAAAAACAAAATTTGCTTGGTTGTCATCTGTAGATATGATGTACTTTTTGTTAAAATGGGGATCTGGACCACAATCTTCAGCCTGGTAAACCAAATTGAATATGCAACACATATACAATAGAATTATCATATTACCTATTTATTGATTGTATTTATTTCATGTTCTGCACGAAAATGAATGACTACTGCCACTTGGAAGAAAACTTGTGCAAGATTGAGACTTCTATTTATTTCTTGTACTTCCCAAAAAATTTCCCTCATTTTTTAATTGACAAAGTATGCCACTGAATCTGTGATATTTTTAGCTGGTTCCTGCAATCCTTTTTGACCTTCAATTTCATGTTTTCCTGTTTCGTTGTTAGTTTTGTACCAAGATGAATTCAAAATTGCTCTGTGAAAATCACCGTTTCTTTATACAAACTCTTGTCTTCGGGTGACTATGCTTCAAACAAAGCTTTCATTGGCCAATTGGTACCCATTCTTAAAAAATACTGAATTTAAACCTCATTACAAACTAAAATCCTAATAAAATTCAGGATGACAATTTAAAAAATATTTTCCAACATGAATAATAATTTTTCACTAATTAAGATGCCTTTCACGAGATTGGTGGATTTAGATAATACATGAGACTAAAACCAGGGTGTACCACTTCAATTGCTCTCACAAGGAATCAGAATCTTAGTTGATGGGGATGTTGCAGTGCAGGGTGCTGGTTAAAAAGGGGCATCTCTTCGAGATTTCTTGTATCTCTTCAATCGGACACAGAATGCTGAATATATTAGTGGCATTTTTTTCTTCTTCTTCTGATGAGGATGATGTAGTGAATGCATCCTTTTGGTTGATTTAACACTTACTGTGTTTATGACTGAATGAATGATTTGAAGGTTCTGAACCAGCCATGCATTGGTCGATTCACTGTTCATTTGCTCTGGTCTGTGTCTAATAATTTCACCTCATGGTCACGTTCTCTCAAATTAACTTTTCTCAACTTCTTCATGCTGCCACCATTTAATATAGCCATTACCTTGACAATTTTGTTTGGTAGTCCAATAAATATACATACGCGAAGACGTGTTAATTAGATGCTCTTCTTTTATTATTACTTCAGAAAATGAGGCATTTCATGCCTCTCTGAATTTTTAAATAAATTAAAATAAAATAAATTATGAAGTGTGCAATTATTTTAGAAAGATAAACGATTTGAGACGAAAAAAGAAAATAAATAATTTAAATTTTTGATTAAGAAAAAAAAAGTTTATATAAAAACTAAAACTAAAACAGATATTAGAACAAACATTCCTTTATATGATAGTATAAATGTTTTTCTTAAAAAAATAAATGGTAATTTGTTATATATATATATATATATATGTCTATTATTTTATTTTTTATTTATTGATAATCATAATAATGAAACAAATGGAAAAGAAAATAAATATAGAAATTTGTTTTCCATTCAAACATATTTCTACTTAAATTTAAAAAATATAATTGCGCCTTAAAATTTAATTACTAAATTATCTCTTTCTTTTATTTCTAACCATTTAATATTATAATTAGAGGTGGCAAAGTGAGTTATAATTTGTTGTCCGACTGCTAACCTGCCAAAAATTGGTTACTGTCTGTTTGACTTGTCTTGCCTAGTTTATCAGTCTTTTTTTGTTTTGTTAAGTATTTTTTGATTAATTATTATTT